TTCTTTGGAAAAATGTCTGTTCAGGTCCTCCACCCATTTTTCAATTGGGTTATTTGTTTTTTTGGTATTCATTCATATGAGTTCTTTATATATTTTGGATGTTAACACCTTATCAGATAAATATATTCTCTCATACTGTAGGTCGCCTTTTCGTTCTGCTGATGGTGTCATTTGCTGTGCAGAAGCTTTTTAGTTTGATGTGGTCCCACTTGTACATTTCTTATTTTGTTTCCCTTGTCCCAGGAGATGTGTCAAGGAAAAAATTGCTCATATTTGTAGTCAAGAGATTTTTGCCTATGTTTTCTTCTCAGAGTTTTATGGTTTTGTGCCTTACACTTAGGTATTTAATTAATTTCTTGTTTGTGTGTGTATGTAGTTAGACAGTAATCCAGTTTCATTCTCTTGCATGTAGCTGTCCAGTTTTCCCAATACCAGTTACTGAAGAGACTGTCTTTTCCCTATTGTATATTCATGGCTCCTGTATCATGTATTAATTAATTGACCATATATGCATGAGTTTATATCTGGGTTCTCTATTCTGTTCCATGAGCCATGAGTCTGTTCTTATACCAGTACCATACTGTTTTGATTACTATAGTTTTGTAGTATAGCTTGAGGTCAGGAATCATAATCCCCCAATTTTGTTCCTCTTAGGATTGCTTTGGCTATTTGAAGTATTTTGTGGTTTCTGGTGAATTTTAGGATTATTTGCTATGGTTCATTGAAAAATGTCATTGGTAATTTAATAGGGAATGCACTGAATCTTTAAATTTTTTTGGGCAGGATGGCCATTTTGACAATAATAATTCTTCTATCTATCAGCATGAGATAGATTTCAATTTATTTGTGTCCTCTTTAATTTCTCTCATGAGTGTCTTATAGTTTCAAAGTACTGGTCTTTCATCTCCTTGGTTATGTTTATTCCTAGATATTTTATTATTTTTGATGCAAAAATATAAACCTTTTATATCCATTTTTATCATGAATAGATGTTTAATTCTGTGGAATGCTTTTCAGCATCTATTAAGATGGTCATGTGGTTTTTATCTTACTTTTTGTTTATGTGGTATATCACATTGATTGATTTATGGATATTGTACCACCCTTGCATTCCTGGAATAAATCCCACTTGGTAATGATAGATGATCCTTTTGATGCATTTTTGAATTCAGTTTGATAATATTTTGTTGATTTTTGCAGCTATATTCATCAGGGATATTGGTCTATAATTTTCTTTTTTTGTAGTGTCTTTGGTTTTGATATTAGAGTGGTGCTGGCCTCATAGAATGAGTTTGGAAGTATTCCCTCCTCTTCTACTTTTTGGAATACTTTAAGAAGGATGGGTATTTGCTTTCCTTTAAATATAAGGTAGAATTAAGCTGTATAGCCATCTGGTTCTGGAATTTTGTGGGGAGTTTTTTTGACTACCAATTCAATTCATTGCTGGTTATTGGTCTTTTCAGATTTTCTGTTTCTTCCAGGGTCAGTCTTGGAAAGTTGTATTTTCCTAGGAATTTATCCATTTTTTCTATGCTGTCCAATTTATTGGCATATAATTTTTTTATGGAATTCTCTACTCATTCTTTTTATTTCTGTAGTATCCATCATGACTATTTCTTTTTAGTTTCTGATTTTGTTTATTTGTGTACTCTCTCATTTTTCTTGATAAGTCTGGCTAGAGGTTATCTATTTTGTTTATCTTCCCAAAGAACTAGCTCCTGGTTTCATTAATTTTTTCTATTGTTCCAATCTTCTCTATTTTATTTATTTCTTCTCTGCTCTTTATTATGTCCCTTATTCTACTGACTTTGGGCTTCATTTATTCTTCTTTTCCTAGTGTTTTTTAATTTTGAGTTTAGACTGTTTATTTGGAATTGTTCATGTTTCTTGAGGTAAGCCTGTATTGCTATTCACTTTCCTCCTAGAACTGCCTTTGCTGCATCCCACAGATTTTGGGCTGCTGTTGTATTTTTGTGTTCATTTGTCTCTACATATTGCTTGATTTCTGTTTTAATTTGTTCATTGACTCATTGATTATTTAGGAGCATATTGGTTAGCCTCCATGTGTTTGTGGGCTTTTTTGTTTTCTTTGTGTAATTTAGTTCCAGTTTCATACCATTGTAGTCTGAGCAGTTGCTTGATACATTTTCAGTCTTTCTGAATTTATTGAACCTCTTTTTGTGACCAAGTGCATGATCTATTCTGGAAAATATTCTATGTACACTTGAGAAAAATGTGTATGCTGCTGCTTTTGGGTGGAATGTTATTTAGATATCTAGTAAGTCCATTTGATCTAATGTGTTTTTCAGTGGCTCTGTTTCCTTGTTTATTTTCTGTCTGGTTGATCTGTGCATGGATACAAGTGGCATGTTAAAGTCTCCTAATATGAATGCATTAAGTTTATTTCCCCCTTTAGTTCTGTTTTTACATATTTACATTTGTTTTACATATTTAGGTGCTTCTATGTTGGGTGCATAGATGTTTATAATTGTTACATCCTCTTGTTGGGTGCATCCTTTTATTATTATGTAATGTCCTTGTGTCTTATTACTTTCTTTGCTTTGAGGTCTATTTTGTCTGATATAGGTATTGCTAATCCTTTTTTCTCCTTATTATTTGCATGAAATATCTTTTTCCATCCCTTCACTTTCAGTCTGTGTATATCTTTGGGTCTGAAATGAGTCTCTTATACGTAGCATATAGACTTGTTTCTTCATCCATTCTGCCACCCTATATCTTTTGATTTAATGCATTCAGTCCTTTTACATTTAAGGTAACTATTGATAGGCATGTACTTATTGCCATTTTATTGTCTTATATTGTTTTTGTAGTTCCCCTCTGTTCCTTTCTTCCTCTCTTATACTCTTGTTATGTGATGGTTTTCTTTAGTGCTGTGATTGGATTTCTCTCTTTTAATTGTTTTGTGTATCTGTTATAGGCTTTAGGTTTGTGGTTACCATAAGGTTCATGAATAGTTTCCTAACTATTTAGCAGTCTATATTAAGCTCAGGATCACTCTATTTCAAACACAGTCTAAAAGTACTTCCTTTTATACTCTTCTTCCTCCTGCATACTTTATATATTAGCTGTCATAGTCTTCATTTTCTGTGTATCCCTGGACTGATTTTGTGTATAGTTGGTTTTACTACTTTTGCTTTGTTTTGTTTTGTTTTAATTTCATGCTTGCTTGGTAATTGGTCTACTATCTTTACTGCAGGTTCATTTTTACTGGTGAAAACTATTTAGGCTTAAGAACCTTTCCATCTACAGAAGTGCCTTTAACATCCTGTAATGCCAGTTTAGTGGTGGTAAATTCTCTCAGCCTGCATTTTTCTAGGAAATGTTTAATCTCTCCTTCAAATTAGAATGATAATCTTGCTGCGTAGAGGATTCTTGTTTCAATACATTAAATATTTCATGCCTCTCCCTTCTGGCCTGTCAGTTTCTACTAAGAAATCTTCTGATAGCCTTGTGTGGTTTCCCTTATAAGCAATTTTTTTTTCTCTCTAGTAGCTTTCAATACCCTCTCCATATCCTTAATATTTGTCATTTTAATTACTGTATATCTTAAAATTGCCTAGAGAACCCAGGCTGCAACCCAGAGTAATCTAAATAGAAATCCCTATACATAAAGGGACCAGTATCATTGTGGCTCCCCAGGTAATTCTAAATAAAAATAATAAACTCAGGAAGAGAAACTGCACAGACTAGGAGACTATACAGATTGGAAAACTGAGGCAAATAGCATTGAAATAAGTTGCCCAGAGCCTTTCACCCTGTGAGTAGCAGCCCACCACCCTTTGCATGCATGCAGTCTCACCACAGAGCCAGCACTTATACATTAGTGTTAGTATCATACAACTTTAATAAATGGTGTTTATAATGCTCTTTGAAGATAGCAATACAATACCACATGTTAAACACAATAAAACATAATTATATAAGGATGAATCCAATTGTATAAATAAAACATGTAAGAGCCACTAGCTGACATGAGTGGATAATTTTATTTTGCTGTTTTTGAAGTATTTGTTTACATATTTATTTCACAATAAGCATGTATTCACTTACTTCTATCAAAATATTTTTTTATAATCAGAAAAAAGCATATAAGAAAACATAGATATTATATATTTGAAACTGAAAAAACACACTGCTGGATTATGAGAGGAAGTTTAGTAATAACTAATTGATTGCTTAGCAAGGCAGACAGACAAGATCCTAATGGCAGACACTAGAAAACATTAAGCCACTCTTATGAGCTAGAACTGGAAGAATTCCCTGCATGATGTTTAAGACCCCTGATGTAAGCCTTCTTCACCATGGCAAGCAGAAGGGATTGGCAGACTGCAGCTATTATTTATTTCTTCAAACCAGGACACATCATGGCCTCTGCTGTTCCTCTTCCAAGAAATAATAATGAGATAGAACATGTAACAACCCCGTCTTAAGTCCTTTAGGTTTCAATATTTTTCTTACATAGTTGGTTGCTATACAAATATATTACAGAGAAAACCTGACCCGTAAGTGTCTCAAATGAGATAAAGGAAGGCTGTAATTGAATATTATCATGGCCTATTAATTAATTTCTGTCTGGATAGGACAACACTTCCGATTTTGAAATAGCTGCCAGAACATGCTTCCAGAGGCTCAGATAAGCTGGAGGCAAATTCCTTAGTTGTCCATTCCCAGAGGTAAGTAACCTGCACCAGCTTGTGGTCCCAGTGACTGGTTAGATGAAAAATCCTTTTTTCAGACAGGTGGATAGAGGCAGGGTGAAAAATAGCCAAGTAGTGCTTGGCATTATAAGTGAACACAGGGTGACACTGGCTGGCTGTGTCTATCACTTGGATTGCACCTTTTCTATCTCACTGGAGTTGAAGGCTTCATAGAGGGGGTGGTGGATATCCCCTAATTCTGGCAGGCCTTAATATATCAGATATCATTAGAAATAATTAAGGAGAAATATGGGTTTTTTGTTTTTGATTTTTTTAAAAAAGCATTGGAAGGCCCCCAAGAAGGCCCATCTTACGTTCCCCTTCGGTGCTATGTGAGTTCTGCAGAGTTACAAACATTGGATCTGGATGGTCTGTGAGAAACAACAAGACGAATGTGAATTCCAGTGATTTCAGTTTTTTTAGCGAAGGACTTATTAAAACGTGGGTGGAAATTCTCCGGAATATATTCATGAACACTTCTCAGGATCTCCCTGAAATCATTCTAATACTGTCTTTGATCTGCACAGTTGGAGGTAGGTATAACTCCTTATTTGAATTTATTTTACAGATATATCTTGTAAATGCCACCATATAGAATTAAGGAAAGTAGCAGTAATAGAAAATTAGAATTTTGTTCCTAAATTCATGTCTTTATCCCAAGGTGTTTCAATCATATGAATCCAACAGTAGTCTGCCCCTGAGAAGAGACATGTAGAATCTGATCTATATGCTTCACCTTTGTTTTGTTCAAAGCATTCACACCTTCTTACCTGCTAGGTGATGGCTAGATATAAGTGACTGGGGAGAATTGAAGCAGATAGGCAGAAAATCAAGGTTTGGGGGATCTTATTGTTATTTCCATGATCATAAACTATAGCTTCATTCATGTTTTAAAGTTAGTTGCCCTACCACTTTCTTCACTTGGACAAAGAATTTTCAAGTGATTGGTCTTCTGAATGGATCAATTACTTTTTAACTACTCAGCAGGGTTTTGTCCAAAATGATAAATTAACCTAGCTTTTATGAGAAGAAAAGGACACTGTGAACACTGTCAAGTCAAAAGAAAGCACTTTCTTTTTTTTGTTTGTTTTGCATTCTTTGACCTGATTGGAATTGTATAACAAAGAAGCATAAAATGTTGAACTGAAGAAAATACTGGAATATTGCCTTTTGCACTTTGATAACAATAATGAAAAAGGTTGAAGAACATTAAATATTCATTATAGGCTTTATAATGTGTGGTAGGTAACTAATAATAGGTGGCTAGTCTTATACATTGGGCAAATTATTATAGCTGCTTATTATTATCTTGGGAGTCAGCCAGGAGATTTCATTAAAGTTTAGCTGTTTATTAACTTCTCATTGCAGGATTGCTAAAGAAACTAACATGTGAATTATAGTGTATACAAAAACTGCTGTATTTTAGTAGTAACCCAAGAACCAATGATTGCTGGCAATATTAACCAAAGATTCTAAGCAAAATGAGATACTTCATAAGCAGTTAGATTAGCAATCTAGTAGATTAACAATTACACTGATTCTGTGTGCCTAAGTATGAGGGAGGTTTTCAATTATAGGAATATAGGAAGTGAATAGTGGAACAATATTTCATTGTTCTCAGTATTAAGAAATCGTATCAAATTAAAGTAGTATAAATGTGATATTTCACTGCCTTTCAGTAAAGATTTTTTTTTTGCAGCATTTTTAAAACTACGTTTGAAAGACTTTCCAATTCCTCTCCCTGTGATATTGTTTTTAATTGGATGTAGTTTTGAAATACTAAGTTTTACATCTGACCAGGTGTGTATAGTAAATACAAGTATTTTGTATTATATCTAGATTCTTATTAATGCAAAGATGGCTTAAGAAAATTTGTAAAAATATTTGTCTCTTTACTGTTCTGTCAGTTGATAAATGCTTGTGATGTGGATAACATCAGATTGGATGTGTAAAAAAAAAGAACCAGGTATGAAAGAGCTGAGGTATAGCTAAACATTGTCAAAACAGAACATGGGTCCGAAACTAGGTAGGCAACTCAGAATGAGTATATGTATAGCTACTAAGAGTGTGAGTGGCTAATGAGTGTTTAAGCAGAATTCAAAAGCTTAGACAGGAAATTGGTTAACAAGATAGAAGCCTGGAGAGACTTTGAGAGCTGCTAATATAGATCTGTCATAGCAAAAGAATTCTGATATTGAACCAATTCTATTGTTTTAGGAATGTTTCAAAGGGTTCCCATGACAATAGAGGCTAGTCTTTAAGTGTGCCTGGCTTAGAATATATTATGAAAAATTAATTGATCCTCTTACCTCGAGTGCGAAGTGAGGTAAGGCAAGGCAAACTACAGACATAGTCAAAGCAGCTAATGTATTACTACATAGCTGGGAACAGCTGGATTCAGTTAGAGGAGAGAGAATATACTTCCTCCAAGAAATATAGAATGCATTATTAAATAGTCCTTTAGCCCAGCATTTGGCAGCAAACTTTTTCTGTTAAGAGCCACATAGTAAATATTTCAGAATACACAGGCCGTATGATTTATCACAACTGCTCAACTCCACCATTTAGTTTAAAAGCAGCCATAGACAATAAGTAAGTGAATTGGCATGGCTATTTCAAATAAGACTTTATTTACAAAAACAGGCAATAAGCCAGATTTGGCCCAGGGGCCATAGCTTGCCAGCATCTGCCCTAGTCAGAGTGTGAATGAGAATGTATGAAATGATTCACTTTCCCAAATAGATTTAA